TCGGCCCTAAGGTGTCATGCACCAAAGGGGGCTCTGAATCCAGAGACTTAATCGGCCCTAAGGTGTTATGCACCAAAGGGGGCTTCGAATCCGGAGACTTAATTGGCCCTAAGGTGTCATGCACCAAAGGGGGCTCCGAATCCGGAGACTTAGTTTGGCCAATCGTGATATCCACGAAGGGCGGTCCGAATTCGGAGTCTTAGTCGGCCCTAAGGTGTCATGCACCAAAGGGGGCTCCGAATCCGGAGACTTAGTTTGGCCAATCGTGATATCCACGAAGGGCGCTCCGAATTCGGAGTCTTAGTCGGCCCTAAGGTGTCATGCACCAAAGGGGGCTCCGAATCCGGAGACTTAATCGGCCCTAAGGTGTCATGCACCAAAGGGGGGCTTTGAGAAATGAATTGAGCGACGAAGAAAAATGATTTGCATTGCAGAAGTGATATATATACAAGTATTAAAGCCCACAGGTCGGGTCAGTGATAGGGTTCTCATAAAATCTCTGCTTGTGCCGATTGCGGGGAGCCACGGATTTCTTCAATGCCATGGGCTGTCGGGAAGCGCACAAGCTGATGATAAGTGCTTGGAACGGCCTTCATAATATGTAACCAGGTTCGCCCCATGATGACATTATACGGCGAAAGGAGCTTTATGACCAGAAATTCTACTTCGACCGTTCTGGAGCCCGCTCGAACAGGTAGTAAGATCTGTCCTAACGGGTACTCAGGATTCATATTAAAGCCGAACAATGGGTGAGGCGCCGGAGACAGATCTGACTCGTTGAAGTCGAGTTTGATGAAAGTTTTGTAATACATAACCTCTGAAGTACTCTCTGGGCTATGAGAATGCGTTCAATGGTGAACCGATTTATGCGTAATTTGATGACCAACGGATCGATGTGAGGGGCTATTGTGCCGCTAAGATCAGAGTCATTAAAAGTAATTGTCGGAGCTTCTCTGGGCCATTCGGTCGGAATACGTTGCTTTTGGGAGATTGGATGCGATTAAATTGTGTGCACAGTTGGGGATGCAGGCAGGCTGTAGATTATATGGATCACGCCCAATGGAGGTAAGTCCTGCCTCAAGGCTAATGCCTTGATTGGGCTTCCCTTTCTCACGTACTGTTGCAGTCGGCCGTCTTGCACCAGTTCTTCCAGGTGATCCTTTAATGCGTAACAACTCTCGGTTTCGTGGCCGTGATCTTTGTGATACTCGCACCGCCTATCCTTTCTTCGTGTGTCGGGTAGCCCCACCATCTTTGACGGCCATTTGAAGAATGGAAGGTGTTGGACTTTGGTCATTATTGCAGTGATTGGTTCTGACAACTTTTATGTACTTCTTGTCGGCACGCCTCGAGCACCTGTTGTCGACTTGCAGTTGTTCATTCATCCGATGGGAGCATTGATCGCTTGATCGGCGAGAGTCCCGCCTTTTGTCTCGTTTAGCGCGTTGCCGTGGCTCAGGGCTCAGAGGTGGCACGGAACTTATCGGTTGAGCAATTTCAAGGGGGGCCGTTTTGTTGGACATTTTTCTGGCTTTTATTCTCAAGGCATCATCTTCCACTTTGCAATACTCTTCAACTTTCTTCATCAATGCCCAGACTATTTTGGGAGGTCTTCTGGTCAGGGAACTGCGAAGAGCACTGTCGGGATGTAGTCCCATTTTGAAGGTGATGATGGCCATGGAGTCGTTGCAAGCGTCGTCGACGAGGTTGAAGCACTCCCAATAGCGCGCCGAATACGCTCTGAGTGTTTCTCTTGACTGGATCTGCATAGCCCAGAGAGAGTCGGCCTGTTTCGGCTGTACCTCGTTGGTGATGAACCTGACCCTGAAGGATTTCTGTAATTGATGAAAGCTTTTGATCGAAGCCAGCTCTAGCTTGTAGTACCACCTGACAGCTAATGGCCCTAGGCTGCTGGGGAATATTTGGCACATGAGGGCTTCGTTGTCTGCATGCAATGTCATGTCCTGCTTGCAGTGACGGATATGGTCAGTGGGGTCTGATTTTCCGTCATAAAGAGTAAATGACGGAGCTTTGAACTTCTTGGGCAGGGTCGCCCTTGCAATCCGTCGGACAAAAGGATCATGCTGGTCCTCTTCGTCTGAACTGCTTCTTTTGCGCTTGTTCCTTATATGTAGACTCTTTTCGGAGGAGCTGGAAGTTTCGGATCATTCCTTCTTATTGAGCTCCGTGGGTAATGAGTTGGAGTCGCTATCGGTATCCTTTGGTCGGGCTCGAGGTCGTTGTCCACTTGCCCTCAGAGGTCGTTCGGGATCTTGGCGCATGGCTTCTCTGGATTTTGCTACTTCCAGGGCCAAATCTTGACAGAGACGTTCATTTTCAGCGATCATGTTCTCCAGCCTTTGTTCATTCTGCTTTGCTTGTTCCATGATCGCTTGCATTGTCTCTTGCGGTGAAGTCGTTAGCGAATCGAAGTTCAAGGCGCGTCTTGCAGCGATGGTTTCCTTTCCGAGCATATTTGCTGGAGTGAGGTCATCTCCCTGTGCGGTCTTGTCAATGGCTATCGGAGGATCTTCAGTCACGCCTGCCATGGATGTATTTGAGTATTTCCACAGACGGCGCCAATTGTGGAGAAGTGTTTTGGAAATACTCTTCAGATCCTAGGAGACGCTAGTGATCCTCAGTTAGTCACCTGAAAAAACATAAACACTCCGGTCGGGGGTGCTGGAATTAGCACTCTGACGGACAAGTCAGTTCTTGCACTCAAAATAGCTTGTCTTCTAAGTTAAACAAAAAGTGATTGTTACATACCTTTCTCAATCCATTATTCCTGTATTTATATATGTTCCTTTTGATCCTCGGGGTCAGGGCCTACTTTTTAATCATTGTCCTTTCTCTTATTCGGCTCTAAGGATCTACACTTATTCGGCACATGTATTATATTCGGCTTCCCATTCTCGTAGGATACCGCCGATTAGTATCAGTCTTCTAAGGTACGCACCTTCTGATTTTGCCATTATTCGGCTCCCATACTAATATCACAATAAATCAAAATACCATTCATGAGTGATAGTCATAACTAACAACGAAAAACCACACATGATAAAATTAGAACAAATCATATATATTATTAAAAGTAACGTTTTTTTTATGTTTATGTGGTACATTATAAGAGTTTACTTTTTTTCTAAAAGTGCCATGTCAGCATGTATTTTTTTAATTACATATAGAGTTCTACACAAACCAAAACCTAATTAATTTTACTAACTTTACCATATTTTATATGGATTCTATTTGACAAATATTTTTTTTTCCCATATATTTGTCATAATAAATTGAGATAATTCACAAACCCAATATCAATTTTGCGTTTCACATTTTTTTTCTTAATTCTTTCAAGAGTATTAGAATTTTTTTTTTAATACTAAATTGCCTTCTTTGTTTTTTTCCCCTTATTTTCTCATACATTATTCTATACCCAATACCAATTCGATATTATGGACTTGTCATTTAAATTTTATAGTGATCCATGTATGAAATTATACTTCATTCCCTACATTATTTTACATAATCACAACTCACATAAGGAAAAACTTGCACAATAGTAATATTCTCGATGAACATCTAAAGTTTGGATTTACTACTTAGTTACTTTTAAATTATTAAACAGTAAGTTCTTTTATATTTTGACATTATATTACAGATGATTAATTACTTCATTATATAGTTGATATCTTAATTTAATTAAGAGTATTTATTTTACAATCTTATTATTTAATATATATCATATAAAATCGTTCTATGATAATCCAACTACAATATATTTATATTTAATTTTTTTAATAAATTTTATATAATTTCTATTTCTACATGTTTTTATTTTCTAAATGAATATAAAAGGAAAATTAAATAATTAGAATTACTTTTATATTACTAATTCTTCTTCTAATTTAACTATTATTTTTAGAAGCATTTACATACAAGTCTCATTTTATGAACTTATAATCCATTAGTCCTAGATAAAATTATTTACTCTTTCTGAGAGGGTAATTTTTGTAAAAATTGGGCCGAGTTGGGAGATGGGTCATTATGGCCCACAATACGAAGGACTGAGTAAAAAGGTCGTAAAGTTACTCCGGCCCAATAGAGGTATAAAGTTACTCCGGCCCGAGGAATGTAAAGTTACTCCGGTCCGGAAGCAACTTGGAGTTAGGCCGGTCTCAAAGTTAGTCCGGTCATGGCGTATTGTGGTTAGAACGGAATATATTAGTTTTGTAATCAATATTTTGGATAATAAATTAAATTTAAAATATAATCAAATTAAATAATTTTGTTCGTAAATTAATTTTCAAATCAAAAAAACAAAAATTGAATTCAAAGCTAGAAAAAGTGTTTAGAACCTCCCCCACGAACCATCGTCTTCTAGTGTCCACAATTCCACCAATCTCTGCTGCTACTATTACTCCTACGTGACTCTCATAATTCGTTCGTGGAGTGGGCCTTCCTTCCGAGTTCCCCCTCCCCCTCTCTCTCTCTCTCTCTCTCTGGAAATTATTCAATATCTCCGGAGCACCACGTGTCCATACTCCAAACCAATCAGTAATTAGTTAGCCCCATATTGTCCCCCATGTCCAACATAAATCGTGGACCCTTGTGACTCTCCACCAATCAAAACCTTATAAAGTACCACGTGTCCATACTCCGGGAGTACTGAATAATCACCCCTTCTCTCTCATTACATAAAAAATGGGATAAATTACATATACCTCCCTCAATATTTAGTTAAATTACAAATATCCTTGATATTTGTATTTTCATAACAAATTACTTTTTAAAATTTATATTTTCATAATAATTTATTTCATAATTTATTATGTAAATAGTACTTTCAGAAAATATCTGTACTTTCTCAAATCTTAAAAATATTTTTAATTTTGTTAAATCTCGATATATATATATATATATATATATGTAATTTCCCCTAAAAAAATCCTATTTCTGACTTTTCCTGCAACACTGTTTTGTCCCCATTTTGCTTATAGAAAGAGAGAGAGAGAGACCCATACACACACATTCAAAAATGAGGATCAAAATCTCAGGCTTTAAAAAATTACACTGTCTCAACACCTAGGCTCACTTCCCCCTCTCTCTCTCTCTCTCTCTCTCTCTCAAACATTACTGTGCTATTTTTGATATGAACCTTCTTGTTATGGTAATATCCATGTGGGTTTTCAGCTTCACTTGGTTTTTATCAGCAATTGATGCCAGACCAGACCCTCCTCTTTCTTCAGTTTCTGACCCAGTTCTTCCAACTGAGAAACAACCCTTTTCTCAATTTTCTTCAGAAATGGCTGTTCACTCTCCAGGTAAATCCAGCAATGCCTGCCCATCTTTATTTGTTTCTGTCTCTAGTTTTATAACTTTTATTCATAGAGAGCCAAATGCTCGGGATGTGTGAACTAAAATTATTTGCTATTTGCAGAACCAATATGATGTTCTATTTTGAACCCCCAATTTTCTCAATTTTTTGGAGCTTTTAGATCAGTTTGTGTTGTATCAATATGCAAAATTGGATTTAGTACTTTAATTTAGGAAAAATAAGGTATTTTCTTTTATTTATTTATAATTTTTCTTGCTTGCTTGCTTTGATTACTTCTGGAATCAGGATTGCCAGAGGTTAGAGTAGTGCACCACCAAGATTTGAACAAGAAAATTCTCATAGCACTCATTGTTGCTTCAAGTCTCCTTGGTGGAATTTTGGTGTCTCTGTTATGTTTCTGGATCTGTAGACTGAAGAACTTGAAAAACTCCAACACTAAAAGCCAACAAAGCCAGGGTATGTTCTTGATGATGAAGTCTCATTCAATTTTCCTTCATGTTTAACTGTTCTTCTTGAATTTTTTTTTTTTATATTTATTTATTTATTTATTCTTTTTTTTAATATATCAATTTGATTTGAAGATGCTGTGAAAGGACTTCCAATGGGTCAAGTTTTGGGTAGTTTCAATTCTTTGAGAATGGCTGGTAGAAAGGGCTCTATTGCTCTAATTGACTATCAGTTGTTAATAGCTGCAACAAACAATTTCCATGAAGACAATGTTTTGGGTGAGGGTGGATTTGGACGGGTTTATAAAGCCCGATTCAATGATAATGCGCTAGCAGCTGTAAAAAGACTCCATGGCGGAAGCCAGGATGCTGAAAGAGAATTCAAGGTAGCATTTGACCGGAGATTTTCAAAATCTATCTGTTGATATTGTTTTTCTTGTTGTAATTTATGGTCCTTTTTAATTGCCAATTCAAATTGTAGATTGAAATTGATTGGTTGAGTAAAATTCATCATGAGAATATAGTTTCTCTACTGGGTTGCTGCATTCATGGAGAGGCAAGGTTTCTGGTTTATGAGTTGATGCCTAACGGGTCTTTGGAATCCCAATTGCATGGTAAGAAGTCTTTTATTATCCGTATGAAGCAAGGAAATGTAGACAACGGTAAAGAAATCAACATTACTAAATTCATTATTTGTTTTTGTTTTTCATTTTTAATTGATATTTTAGGACCATCTCACGGATCAGCTTTAACCTGGCATCTCCGAATGAAGATTGCTCTGGATGTTGCAAGGTACACCATTCTGCCAAGTTATCTTGTTATTTGTATTTTTTGACTCTATTGTTACGTGAAGCATCACAATCACCACTATTGATGTTGGCCAGAGGATTAGAATTTCTTCATGAGCGCTGCAACCCTCCCGTGATCCATAGAGATCTGAAGTCATCTAACATTCTTCTTGATTCCAACTTCAATGCTAAGGTAAAATTAGTATGATACCTAATATTTAAAATAAAAAAAATAAAAAAAAAAAACTAATGCGTTCTCACATTTGTGTTCTCCGATGAAGTTTAGTTAAAAGTTCTCTTTTTCTAATTAGGTTTCTTTTGATTCAGCTTTCTGATTTTGGCCTAGCAATAGCTGGTGGAAACCTAAGCAAGGATAACGTAAAGCTTTCAGGAACTTTGGGATATATAGCCCCAGAGTACATTTTGGATGGTATGCAAAAGTTGTTTACGAGTTTTAATCTTTACCAATTTCAATAGACTTTTTAACAGGTTGCTTGATATGTTTACTTGATATACTTTTCTTTTCTACAGACTTCTCTTCAAAGTACGTGTGAACATCAAAACTTTTCTTGTGTGCCAAAATGACCACTTTCTAGCAACATCCTTCATACAGTATTTTCCTTTAATAGGACTTAAAATGACTAATAAGGATCTAATATGTGGAAAACAATGCCAAACATTTAGTGCACTTCAATAGTTTAATTATCATCACATTACAAATTCATCTATAGTTGCTAAAGAAAACATATTTTGTTGAAGTTTATTGTATTTTGATGAATGCAGAAGCTTCTGAATTAGTAATCTCTAGAATGGAAACTTCACCAAATTTTCAGGAATATCCTTGGATGTGGATGCATGATTCTGTTTTTCTTGTATGAACCTCGCTTTCCACATTCGTTCTTGAAACATTATTTGTGCCTTAACCCTGTCTTCGCTTTTCATGTTATTTTTTTCCCAGTTGTAGTTCCAAGCCCAATGTCCTAATAGTCCTCAAGGTTTTCATGTCACTAATATGCCGCCTTTTTACTATAATTTTCTTCATTTCTTGACGTGTATTTTTTAACAAATTCCTTTATAGCAGCAGAATGTAAAAATTGTATTAAAAAAACCGTTGCTACATTTAGAAATGTCTCTTGGATCTGTCCCCAAAACCAGATAGCCGAAATACAAGTAGAATTTCCACTAATAATGCAATCTTCACCATTATATTTTCAGGTAAATTGACTGACAAAAGTGATGTCTATGCTTTTGGTGTTGTTCTTCTGGAGCTTTTGATGGGAAGAAAGTCCATGGAAAAAGCAGCATCAGATCAGCACCAGTCTATTGTCTCATGGGTAAGCATTACATCTATTAACGCATTTAACCAATCCATGAAATTTTGATAAACATTCGAGTTATTAGAACCTAATGTTCTAACCATGTTTTGACAAGCAGGCCATGCCTCAGCTTACCGACAGGTCAAAGCTCCCAAACATTGTGGACCCTGTGATCAGAAATACAATGGATTTAAAGCACTTATATCAAGTTTGTCCAATAGAACTAGTGCAATTTCTCCATTTTGATTTCTCCTAATCATCTTAAGTTAATTGGATTCAATGTTTTGGATAGGTTGCTGCTGTTGCCGTGCTGTGTGTACAACCAGAACCAAGTTACAGGCCTTTGATAACCGATGTGCTGCACTCCTTCATTCCTCTCGTGCCTCTTGAGCTTGGGGGATCACTAAGAGTTCCAGAAACTGTGCCGCCTGCCTGCAGTAGTTAGCCTTCGAGTCATTGATTACATAAAACTGGGGAATGTGACTTATACAGGTGCATGCTGTATTTGTTTTTTTTTATTTATTTATTTATTTTTGTTTGTTTTTTTATTTTTTTGCAGTTGTAAAGTGAGGCGTTTTGTATAGAAATTTACAGCATTGATCATATCTCTTCAAGTGTACACCTCCAATGTGTTTGAACATAAGTGAGGATTGGAGTCATGGATTAGTTGCTCTTTGAAGGGATATTAACTGAATGTGCTGGTGACATTTATACATGGATGTTGAAGCCTAAGCTGTTTTTGCTCATTATTTAAGTAATAATGACATTTGTATTATCACATAGTTAAGGGCTGAACTGTTTCTTTAAATGCGATATGTGATTGTGACGCCTCAACCGGCTGTATTAATTCGATTTCATGAATTTCATGACACCAGCCCATGTTGGTGCTAAATATGAATCAGATTTATTGGCCGGAAGTTTGGCCAGGTAAGTATTCCGATGGCTTAGTTAGTTCCTCTGTTCGTGAAAGACAACTTGGTAGTGTATTGTAGGATATAATGGCCCTGTTTGGTAAAGGTGTGAGAAAGTGCTTATAGCTTATGCCTCAACAGCTTATAGCTTATAACTTTCAGCTTAAACTGATTTCCAGCTTATTCTTAAAGCATCTCCTGCCCCACTCAAAGAATAAGCTGATTTCTGACTTTCAAAAAGCTATAAATTATAAGTTATAAGCTAAACTAAACACATCAAAATAGTTTAAATTAAGCTGAAAGCTGAAATAAGCTGTAATTAAGCTCTGCCAAACAGGCACAATTTTGGGTGCCTTTCAACAGTTGTTCTTCCCCTATTTAGGGGTGGTTTGGGATATTCTAAATAAGTATATTTTTTAACTTTTTATGAAATATGGGTTGGTAATGGATTGGGTTTGAAATGATATGCTAGAGACATGATGTGACTTAAATAAGATGATATGATTTAAATAGGATAGTGATTTTTTTATTTTTTTAGGTTATGACAAACAAAGTCTTTTAGAGGTAAGAGCAACTCCAATACTTATTTTCTTTTTCTTTTTCTTTTTCTTTTTTTTAAAAAAAATTTATAATTAAATTTGAGTTAAAAACTTTATCTGATACCAAGCGTTCAACGTTAAATTTTTTATTTTCATTAAACAATCGGTCACTTACGAGATTTGATAAAAAATTAAATATTCATTTAATTTGACAAAAAAAAATTGACTCACTTTATTTGATAGTATTAATTTGATTGGTAAACTGTTAGAATATCATTTTTATCAAATTTGATGAAAAATTTAAATCTGAATTGTAGATGTTGATGGTCTAAGATGGTTTGCCCAGTCCCTTTTCTCTCTCCTAGACCATGCTTGAGCACGCGAGAGCTATCATCAATGTTGTTGCCTAGATGTAATAGCTATCACAATCTTAAGAGACAGTTAGAACATTTTGACTTTGGCATGCACAATAGTTTACAAGTGAAAATTAAATTTTAAGAAATTATACTAAACTTAAAGGTTTAACTATAAAATTATAATAAAGTTTTATGAAAATCTTAAAGTGAGTGGAAAGATGAGAGTGTGATTATCTTTGATGAGATGGAAACAGAGGTGAAGTGTCACCTAATTAGGTATCTTTTTAAAGGTGAAGAATTAGAGTTCTCAATTTTCATTTAAAAAGAAAATCTTCTTAAACCCTGCATCTAAAAAGAAAATCTTCTTAAACCTTGCATCAACTATGGATAAGAAATTTTGATTTGAAAAACATGTTTAAGATAAGAAATGGAAGGCCTTGTGGTGTTCATATGTTATGCTGAGAGCTTTTAAAAAATTCGATGACACCAAAATAATTGATGACTTCGAATATGAAATAAAAGAATCATAAAAATTATATAAATTTACGAGAGAGAAATGATCACAAGATACCCAGATTTATATGATTCAGCCTAAGTCTATGTCCACGGGTAATCACAAAGAGAAGGATTCCACTAGAAAAGAGAACAATGCTCCGAAAAGTTACAATGTTGGCAAAACAATCTCTTACAAATAACAAAACTCACCAAACCCAAAATATAAGTTCCCTCACCAAATCCAAATCTTTTCTACACAAGTCTCACAAAATCGAAGTTTCAATGAAGAGATACCAAGTCAAGTAGGTCTCTCACAAATCCAAATCAATATGGGAGTTATAATCAAGTCAATATTTGACTACTTACAAATTTTATTCCAATTAAGAAATAGAATACTCAATCCAAATTATATTAGAAATAGATATTGAGCCAATAATTCAATTCAACATCATGATTCTTTTCTTCAAATTATGTAAGGACTGTGAAGTTGTAATATCTCATAACACACATCCCTAATCCAAGTAGGTTATATTTTTAATTCAATTATTTTGTTATTTCGTCACAAGTTCCGGACACAAAAATTTATTGTGTACTCCGGCATGTGCTATATTGACTTCCCTGTCTACCCCCATCTACCAACTCCTTATTTAACTTTTTTTTTTTTTTTTTTTGGTTCACTTCATAACTCCAATGTTTTCCACAGTACCATGTGCTCTACCTACTAGTCATCTTCTTCAAGGCCATGTTTGTTTTGATGGTGTGATTGGATTAGTAGTAAGGTGGGCTCACAAAAATCATATTTATTTTACAAAATTGTCGTAAGATTAGTAATCAATAATGGGATTATGAAATCCCACTGAGGGGATTAGCAATTCCTGGGAGAGGTGATATTGAAATATAATTCTATGGATTAGTAATAGAAAAACTATTTTGTTCCTTACTTTACAAAAATAATAAAGTCGCCTTTTATATAGCGACAGTTTTTACATAATTTCATAAATTTAATAGGACACTCCGACCATAAGTCCATTTCTTAATCTTTTGGGACATTAGGCGGAAATTCTAATTTCTTTGGACCAAAACAACACAATTTGTCCAAAAGAATAACCATATGTTGAAATCACCAAATTTATCTATTTGTTGAAATTTACCATATCTATTGTCCTATCTGTTGAAATTCACCAAACTACATATCTGTTGAAATGTAACGCATGTCACTCATTCAATACTCTATCTGTAAAATATCACATATTTTTCTATTTCACCACTATCACTTTCGCCACCGGTCACTGCAATTTTGATGTCCCTAGGATTACAAAAAAAAGAATTAAAAACAATAATTTAACAAAAATCATTCCAAAATGATTTGGTAATAACAACTGTGATTATAAGTGCCATCATAAAATTCAGCCACAATTTTGATTTTGTTAACTTTTTTTCCTACAGCGGTTGGATTTTTTTCAAGTTGGAATTTGAATTTAATTGTTATGTCTAGGCTTGTGAGATTTATTATGGCTTACGTTTTAATGATCTAATTTATTTATTTTGTAAGATATAAAATTAAGTCAATTTTATAATTATAATTTTTTTATTTTATTACGTTTATCTCTAAATAAAAATAACAGTCTACTTTTAAAATATATTTATCATCTATTTCAAAAAAACACAATAAATAAAAATGTTATAATTATTAAATTAATATAATTTTTTTCCATATGTAAATAATCTTAAAAAAATGACCTTAGATTCATAACTAGTAGGGTTGGAGAATGAAGTTAGGGGTGAGGAACAAGAGTTGATCTGGACAGGTATGAGAATGGAGAAGTTTAGAGAGAGAGAGAGAGATGAGTTTTGATTTGGTAAGGTCAAATTTCTCTGTGATATGTTTAGGGACCTTAGACATTAAAAAATAATTTTGTGGATCTCTTCCATTATGAAAAGTGGGAGAGGGACCTAGACCAATTTTCCCTAAAATTAATAATTAACATCATCAAAACGAGACCGCGAATCCTACAAGGCTGACCATAAAAATCAAGTTCATATTTAGGCTAAGTTTGACATCTATTAAATAATACAAAAAATTAAAAAGTCATTATCCTATTTAAATCACATCATCTTATTTAAATCACATCACCTCCCTAACATATCACATCAAACTCAACCCAAATCCAACCCATATAAGCCAATAAATCAAAAAATATACTTTTTTAAAACATTTTAAACCAACCCTTAATTTAATAAAAATCAACCCTATTATAAAGCCCATTTGGAAACATAGTAGTCAAATTTTAATTTTTAATCTATTTTAATTTATATTACCTCTTTATTTAAAAAAAAAAATCAAAAAAATTTTAAAATCTAAAAACAACCCATAATTCATGATTGATGTGACAACCGATAAGGACATGCATTGGTGTGTAATCTTCTACAAATAAAAACAAATGCTGGGTCCAGCTGTTACAATTAGTACGGAGTGTGAATTGTTTAAGGGAAACTATAGCCTATTTAGGGGGTTTGTTTGAATTTTTTTTTGGGGTAAATTTATAACTTTTAGTTTTAAAAAAAGTTATTTTGTACTGTTTTATTAAATTTATGTCAAATAATTTTTGATTTAAACAATTTATTTTAATTTAAAAAAGTTGATTCTGAAAAATTATCAACTTTTACTGCAGACATATTAATTTACGGTTATATTATTAAATTTTTTTATTTTATATATTTTTTTAAAAATAGAAAAAGACCCTAATGAATTACAAATAATAAAAAAAAATTAATATGAGAAATGTAGACAAGTAGACAAGTAGTGAACAACAAAAAAAATAAAAATTAATAGAAAAAGCTATTTCATAACTTGTTTAATAAACACTACTCAGCAATTTAAATCTATAATCCAATAGTTATACTAAACAGATTAACAGCTTTTGATGAAAGTTATAATCTATAATCTGTTAAGTTATAATTTATAATCTGTTTTAACAACTACACTAAACGGGACTATTGACTTCATAAACGGGATTGAATTTAAAAAAATTATTTACCTGAATCTAATAAATACAATTTAATTTTTTTTTCAAAAAACATAAATTAAAAATACAATCACTGTGTGATTATATTAAAAAAACATGAATACAATTTTTTTTTTTATAAAAAAAAACACAGATTAAATGAAGTGTAAAAAAACACAATCATTACAAAAAATAAAATCACCCTGTGATCAAAATGGAATGTAAAAAAACACAATCACAAATTAAGCTAATTAAAAAAAGAAAAATAATTGAGAGCTCTAATAAAGGAGCGCTAATAGGAATGGATCCCACTGTGATGTAATGTTTTGGTCTTGGTTTTATTTTTTAAATTTTTTTTTTTATTTTCTGCCACATCATTAGAGCTCAATTAGAGTTTCAAAATTAGAGAGATGGAAGTCAATTGATAATTAAAAAAATACACTTATTGTTTTTTTCAAAAAGCATAATGAATTAAAAATCCAATCAGAAATTAAGCTAATTAATAGTTAAAACGTACAATCATTTTTTTAAAAAAAAATACAGTGAGTTAAAAATCTAATTACAAAATATAATCTAATCATCATCATTAATAGTGCGTAGTTTATGTAAGCCTAATGAATACAATC